ATATATATTATAGTAAGGTTTTCCTTTTCCTTATTCATACGGGCAATTGTTTGCAAGAGTTTGTGTTATTATTTTTATTATGTATTTTATATAAAGACATACCTACATATTTAATCGTGTTGTTTTTATTTTAGGCGGTTGAGGAATATTTTAGGCACTTTCGACCTAAAACGGACTAAAATGAGGGTTTTTAGTGCGTATTGTCCTAATTTCCAATTTTTAAGGGCCTTAAATCCGGTCTTTGCTCATTAATTACGCTACGTCCGATCGCAATCTGCTACATTAAAAAGCATCAAACAACAAATTAAAGGCATAGATTTAAACCGTCAATACTGGCGCAATGCAGTTCTGAAAAAAAGATATGAAACCATCCATAAATAGAAAAAAAACAGACGAAACCACGTGACGGCAACGATAAGTGAAATCCACTGGATTCACCGTTTCCAAAATGTGCTCTGTTTAATTAATATTTGTTATGCTTTACTAATTAGTTAGAAAGCGAGTACAGGCTACATCATTACAGGGTTTGCTGAAAAAGCTTTATTATTTAATAATATTTATATCCTTTAAATGTCATGCATTTTTGTAATAAACTGAAACCCGACAAGACAACTGTTGGTGTCTGACAACGCCGGTCATTAAATATGAATAATTTCAGTTTCTCTATGCCCTATTCTCATAGACACCAGAGTTATATTTTCATAGAAAATTTCTATGACTATTCTTGTGTAATATTGTAATTTCACGCGCCGAGCTTTTAATTATTATTTTGAAAGTTATTTAGTACCTAGTACAAGGGATTGTTGTTTTGTTTTTGATTGTGAGCAGGCGCGTGCAGAAGAGTAACGACACTTAAGGTAACAAAACTAGCCAAAACACCGGGTATGGAAACGAAATCAGCAACGCCACGTGAGTAACGAAATCGTAACAAAGCCTCTTGGTACAGAAACTAAACCAAACTAAAGTAACGTTTCTCGTGTATCGAAGAAAACTATTAAGTACCTAGTAACGTTTTCTGTTGATAAATAAATGAAGCAGTGTACCGACTTATAAAATACCTTTATAATTTTGTAAATATTGTGCGACTCGTGGGGGAAAGAGGAGATTCCTCGAACGTGAAGTTAGTAACACGCCAAAATTCGCAAACAATGATTAATTCAGTTACCGCAAGAAATATATATTCTTTCCTGCCCACATGGTCATCAGGTATACCTAATTGCGTGAGTTACCCGCACTATTTTCCCACGCGTCCTAATTGAGCGATTTACCCGCGTGACTCACTCGCGCCACTATAGTGCACTAGTGGGAAGTTAGCTTTAGGTTTAAATTGGAAAATAGTGAGGTTAAAAATGAGTTTTATATATCAGGAGGAATCTCCTTTCTCTCCCAGAAGTCGCACAATATACTATTAATATAATACGTATTGTACAATATTGTTTATTAAAATTTTTACCCAATATGAATTTTATTGACAATGTCAATACTTGACAGCATGACAGCTTGACAGCTAGTAGACGGATCAAGAATATATTTACCAAGACTTTGTATTAATGTGCATTTTGTAAACGATTTTTAAAATTCAGTGTTTGGTTACAATTTCGTTACTCAGTTAGTGTTACCAGTTTCGTTTCTATATCCCGTATTTCGGTAGTTGTTGCGCACCTGCAGATTTCGCTATAAACAGTTTCAATTACAATTTTTTTAACCGTTATCAAGATTTAGTTACTCGTTTTGGTGCTATTAAGTATTATTTCTCAAAGTTTCGTTATCATTTTCGGGGACGCATGTTTCGATTCAATTTAGTTTAGATCCTTACTTGAAGAACGATACCCTGTCGGATACCGTAACAAAAATGCGTTACAACTTGTAACTTACAAGTCACTAGTTATTAGTGAGTAGTGACGGCCCCAGCACGCGACGTAACATTTGAATCATAAACACAACACCCCCACCAGTTCCCCAACCCTTTCTCTAAATGACACACAATTTAAGGCGTGGGAGGGCCCTGTAAGGGAATTATTTCCCGGCCCCTAAAATCATCTCAGCACGCGCCTGATTGTGAGTTAGTTTTGTTGGTTAGAAAGATTTTGTGAATAGTTTTAGTGCCTTTTATAATATAGTCGATATTTTAATAAAAAAATATATGACAATTATAAATGGCTCTGTGGGTGTACTCATAAAAATAAACTGTATTGTTTGCCATCCTTACTCTTGGGCAAAGAAAGAATTTTTAGATTCTGTTGCATACCTCATTTTAAATGGCACTGCACGCCACTGGTAATAAGTCCTATGTAATGACAGCTGTGGTACAAGTCTTCTTAAAAATTAATTTCATCCAGAGCAAAATTATCAAATTTTGTAATTTTGTAATATGGACCGATAACGTTATAACATTATATTATCTTAAAATGAATTATTCAAAAATTACTAATTGGAAGTCATATTTGACTAATTGTCATAGCAAAGAACCAATCATTATTAATTATTATTATTCACCAATAATTTTAATTAATTAAATTTTATTGAATGAAAAAATTAAATTAGTAAAAATGGTACGAATAGTGCAGGATCCTGACGATCTCCTGTCCCTTAACTTTTTTAATAGAATTATACTGGTCTTTTCTCACGAATATGGGGCCCGCTTGGTTCAGGTAAGAGCAGTAAGCTAAATAATTAACCACAGTAGGAAAATATGAGAAAAAAAAATTAAATAAAAAACCCCTTTAAAAAATTTTGCAAACAGAAATAAGCACAGAGAAAGTAAAATAGAAAACAACCTGCGGCACCCTGACTTGGGTACAACGGTTGAATTTGAAGGGTGTGTAAAAGTTGAGGTTGACAGCTCTACGGCCAACGACCGCACACAAACCCCTCAACCCGCATGCCGTCTGTCACCAAAAACGGCGACAGCCGACGCGTCGTGCAGACCGAGAGCGGATTTCTAATCACTGCGCCACCGACACCTCTTTAAATAGCAATTATATATTTGAGGATGTCCATTCCAAAACTCGGCTTATCCACTTTTTAATAAAAATGAGTTAGTGGTGTCTGTACATTTAACATGTATCCCCCTATACCCTGAAAAGTTCATAATATTCTAAAACTCACCTTATTCCATTTAAAATTTATTTACAAATTGACTTGCCTTATTTATCCCTTTATAGGGCAGAATCCAATAAATGTTATTTTTATTTTTTTTTTGTTAAGACCCACCTATTTTGGATGTCTTAACTTATTTTAATGATTATTTTGAAAATCCAACTGTTTTTTTTTTAATTTATTATGGTGGATTAAATGGAAACCACTGCCCATAAGATGATAGATGGGCGGTGGTCTAAATTTAATTTAATCGTTTTATTGCGTTTCTGAAAGGATTTTAGTTTTTATTTTTTTTCAGGAACAGGTAAAATAGTTACTTGGGGTATTCTCTAAAAAATTAAATATTTACAAATTGTTCACTGAAAACTGTGTCATTATCCTTATCTGGAAACGCCCCGGTTTCAGTAAATTTCAATTTGTCAAAGTTTTTTCATTGTTTGATTTTACCCACTCTTGTGTTTGTGACTATATTACAGTGGCATTTCTGTGATGCATATTTTATTTTTATTTTCACTGGTCAATTTTTAAAAAGGACCTTCTACTGGTAGTTTTCTCTGAATCTGATGAGTAATAGCGTTACTGAGTCATCTGCATCAGTGTTACTTTCACCCTCAAATCTATTCAAAATTAGTTTCCTGAAATGTATACTGGATGTTCGCTCACTACGATTATGGTGGCTGGATCGTGCTGAAGTATTGGCAGAAGTTACTTGTAAACATGAAGATGTACTTGGTGAATTTAGACGAAAAGTACTTGGCGACTCTTGATGAGAGGAACTTGGTGTAACTAATGCTCGTCGCTAATCCATAGCCTGATCTTCGGTTATACCAACGACTAGATAAAATAGTTTACTTGAATCCAATTTTTCAAAAAACCAAAAAATACTGGACGTTTATAGGCATGGATTCAATAGTCTTACGATATGTGAGCCTGATAGAGGTTATGTTCCAAAACGATCTAAATATTTCGTTAGCGCTAAACTATTATCACAAGTTGTAAAGCATTCAATTACATTTTGAATTATATGTGTTGTCAGGTAAAAAAACATGCTTTTGTTCGCTAGCAGCAACAATTACTGCAAATGTTACTTTTTCGCAATTTTGTGGGAACAGGCAATGGTTAACATAGAGACCACATTGGTTCTAACAGGTGCCAAATTTAAATTGTGGCCAATGATAGCCACTGCACATTATGAGTTCATTTATTTGTACTTTGGTCGAAGTTTGAGTTCTCTCTAATTTCTAAGTAAGCTGTAATGGATGTGGTTAACATAGAGACCCTTAACCTATAAAGGGTTATTGGTTATATCATGCAGAACTCGGCATATATATGTAATTTTAAATTATTTTAAATTGGAGCTATATCTTTTTTAATCAAGGTTTATAAATGTTTCACTTATGCCTATATATTTCGTTTAAATTATTGTGATATGCATTAGTACTCACGTGTAAGGTTTTTGAAATTTTTCTCAAAAACAACTAATATGTATAAGCCCAGTTTTGGAATGCACCTCCTCATTTGTCTATAAATATTGTTAATAATATTTTAAAGTTGAATATTTTTTTGTGTTGCTGTTTTAAGCTAAACGTTTTGCTTATATTTGTTTGTTTTTATTGGACCTTTTGTGTATGGTCGCCTTAGCAAAGTAGTTTAAGAGAAAAAGTGTGTGATCAAATTTAGTAAATTAAGCAGGATGAACAAGAAATAAATGCAATTCTTTTTGTATACATCATATGCCTCAGTGCTAATAATACAATTAGTGAAAAAAATCTGAAAGACTTAAGTGCTATAAACAAATATCAAACAAGTACGTAAACAAACACAAATAATATTCAATATAAAAAAATCATATAAAAACTACAGAACAAACATAAAGATAAAGCTTTCCATCCACGATTACTATGGAATTTAGCGAGGGACAAAAAGAATATTTAAAACAATTATTTTCACAAATGACACAAAATATTGAAACCAAAATCACAACCCAGCTCACAGAATTTAAATCGGAAGTTAACGAATTGCTGGGTACTTGCCAGCAAAAAATTGAAAAATTGGAAAGTGAAAATAATCAGCTAAGAGAAACAGTCAAAGCACTAGATAGAAGAATAAGAAAAAATAATATAGTTATTTTTGGAATTGAAACGGATTATAAAAATTTAAAACAAGAAACTCTTGCACTCTTCAGCGAAAAAATCAATATAGATATAAAAGAGGAAGACATTGGAGGTATATATTTTCTGGGACCAAAGCATAAACAGACTAAGCCCATTATTGTCGAATTTATTTCTGGTATAAAAAAAGATCTTGTGTTTAAAAACGCCTTTAAACTCAAATCTTCTGGAATATCAATTTCTCAGGATCTTTCTGCAGAGGACAGAGAAATTAACAAGACCTTAGTACAACATTTAAAGGCAGCAAAGAAAAAAGGACTTAAAGCTTATATAAGAGGCAGTAATTTGATATTCGGAGAAGATACCTACACTGTAAAGGAACTTAAAAAAGATCTAATTGAAATCCCCACTGAACCTAAACCTTCCTTACAAAAAAGACCTCTGGATGAAGACAATCCTGAAACAGAATCTTCGGAGTCCAAAAAAACCAAAGGAAATCTATCCAGTATCCGAACACGTCAATCAAAATTATTATAAGTACCTATTATATTGATCTTACCTGTACATTTTTATCTGTTAACAGATAAAAATGTACAGGTAAGATCAATATAATAGGTACTTATAATAATTTTGATTGACGTGTTCGGATACTGGATTAATTAATTTAATTTTAATTTTGTGCTGTCAAATAATATTAGTCCTTTTTGTAACTTTGTTATTATAATAATTTTAGTTTGAATTTCTTATGTTACCAAATTAATGTGATTCTTTTTTAACTAGTATGTGTCTGAACCGTATATAATTTTGCCATAAACCTGCCTAAAATTTTAAATAATTATTATATTTGATATGAACCCCTATATAAGAGATTTTCAAGAATATCCCAACCAAACCTACTTGTTAAATTCAACTTATGAATGTGGCGAGGTTCTTGGAGTAAATACTGGGGTAAGTTCCTTCTCATTATTTCATACGAATATAAGAAGTATATCTAAGAACTTTAACTATTTTATTGTCTACCTGGAAAGTATTAAAACTAACTTTGATTGTATTGTTCTTTCGGAAACGTGGTATGTTGAAGACACGTCACTATATAACATCCCTGGATATACTCTAATATACAATCAAGGAAAGTATAATCAAAATGACGGGGTAATTGTTTATGTTAAAGATTGCCTTAATTTTAGTTTTAAAATTATTAATTTTAATTATTCTAATCTAATTGAAATAGAATTATGTATGAACACAGAAAATATGAAAATTTCATGTATTTATAGGTCGCCTGCATCTGATATTAAACATTTCATAACTGAGTTACAGGAATATCTAGAAAATATTACAAAAAATACAGATGATTTCCATATCTTTACGGGTGATATTAATATTGACTTATTAAAAAATAATAATGATGTAACCACATACCTAGATACTTTTAGTGAATTCAACTTTCAATCAACAATTAACTTACCTACACGAGAGGCGGCATGTTTGGACCACATTTTTCTTAAAAGTAAAGTAAACCACACAGATTTCATCTTACCCGTAATAATAAAATCAACCATCTCAGACCATCGCCCAACTATTTTACAAATTACAAATATAAACAAAAATAATAATAACGCACAATATAAAAATCATATATTTAATACAAACTTTAAAAAACTTAACAATATTTTACAACATACCTCATGGTATGAAGTATATAGAACTGTAAGGGCCGGTTTTTCAATCGTTGGTTAACTTTATCTTACGGTTAATTTCCTTAGATACTATTGTTAACACAATAGTATCTAAGAAAGTTAACCGTAAGTTAAACTTAACCAACGATTGAAAAACCGGCCCTAAGTGTTGAAAAAGCAACAAATGATTTTATTAGCACACTAAAAAACAAAATTGATCTCTGTACTAATATTCAAACTCTGAATCATAAAAAAAGAAAAAGAAAACCTTGGATAACTTCAGCCCTTATTAAGTCCATTAATGCAAAAAATGAAATGCAGGTAAAGCTTGCAAGTTGTCCCAATAATTTGGAACTTGAAAGAAATTATAAACAATATAAAAACTTTTTCACTAATCTTATTCGCGAAACGAAGAACAATTATTACAAACAAAAAATAAATCAAAACACATCAAATACTAAAAAATTATGGGACACAATTCAAGAAATAACTTGTGATACCAAAAAAAAGGAAATAAAATCGATTAAAAGCGATAATACATTAATTTATGATTCGGACGAAATTTCAAATTTATTTAATAATCATTACATTAAAGTTGCAGAATTATTAGCTTCAAAAATTAAACAAAACAAAAATCATACTCTTACAATGAGACCACCGCAAAGCAATTCAATTTACTTACAAGAAACAAATCCACAAGAAATTCAAAATATTATAAATTCTTTAAAAAATAAAAAATCGACGGGAATAGATGAAATAAATACTGAAATGATTAAAAATATTAGTAAAAATATAACTACCCCACTCACTCATATTATAAATAAAATATTAGAAACTGGACACTGCCCATCAGTTTTTAAGACTTCCATTATTGTCCCTGTTCTTAAGTGGCGATGACAGTGAGATCGTAAATTATAGGCCTATATCTTTAGTAACATGTCTTGCTAAGATTTTTGAAAAAGTGATAAAAAAAAGATTGGATAATTATCTTAAGAAATTTAACTTAATATCACCAAACCAATTTGGATTTCAGGCTAAAAAATCGACTCAAGACGCAATCGAATTGCTAACAAAAAACATCTATAAAAGCCTAGATGAAGGAACTCCATCCATAAGTGTATTTTTGGACCTAGCCAAAGCATTCGACACAGTTAGTCACCCGATTCTCTTAAAAATTCTATACAATATAGGTATAAGGGGAACGCCATATAAACTCTTTGAAAGCTACTTAAGTAATAGATTACAATGTGTAAAAATTAATAATTCCATTAGTAGATTCAGAGAGATAAAATATGGTGTTCCCCAGGGGACTGTGCTGGGTCCAGTTTTATTTACGTTATACATGGATGGGCTTTTCTCAGTGCCTAGTGCTGCAAAGATAGTCAGTTTTGCCGATGATACAGCACTATTTTATAAAGTAGATAACTGGAATAATCTAAAAAACATGGTTGAAAATGACTTAATGAGTATTAAAAATTGGTTTGATGATATGCTACTTTTGATAAATTTTGACAAGACGTGTTACATACCATTTACATGCCATAATTACAATCTTCCATTATTTAATGAAATTAAAATTGGAGAAACTAACTTTAAAATTAACCAGGAAAGCTCAATTAAATATCTTGGAATAGTGATTGATCAACATTTAAAATGGGAATTGCATATCCAACATGTACTGAAAAAAGTTCGAATTATAATTTATAAATTAAAATACCTTAAACAAATACTAGCCTTCAGTGATCTAAAAATCCTATACCATGCCCTTGTAGAAAGTCACCTATCATATGGAATTATTGGTTGGGGGGGACTATTTGACGTTCATTTGGATCCTCTGCAAAAAATGCAAAAAAGAATTCTTAAGATAATGCTTAATAAAGATTTAACCTATCCGTCTGACTTGCTATTCTCTGAGACACAAATTTTAAGTGTGAGAAAGTTATACTGTTTTAATTTATGTTTAAATCAATTTAAAAAGAAAGATTACTTACCTGTGTTAGAACATCCTTATGAGACTCGCCGTATGAATAAATATGTGGTTCCAAAAATGAACAAAGTAATTGGTCAACGATCTGCTGCATATTTAAGTCCAAAATTTCTTAATTATATTTTGAGTAATATAACACCTACTGAACACTTTCATTCTTTTAAAAAACATTTAAAAATATTCCTCATTGACACTCCAGAAGGCTCAGTAAATGAATTAATTAATAACCGTACCTGAAATACATTTTAGCCACTACTAGTTCTACTGATATTGAGTATAGAATTTTTTATTATCATAATTGTTATTTATGTTTTTACTACTTAATCGTATTTGTTTGTTTTGTGTGTTTAAATTTTTTTTTCTGTGCTTTAGGATTGTATGTATGATATTATTATTATTTAAATACTATTTTTTTCTTGTACTTATTTCCCCAGACAAGTTCAGAACTTACGGGGTTATTTTGTATTTATTTTACCTATTATTCTATTTGTAAGTCCTTTAATAATGTAAATCTTATATGGTAAATAAATATTATTATTATTATTATTATTATATTATTATATTATTATTTTAGCATGCGGCCATATGCATTAAATTTTAACGCTAACAATAGTTTGTTGTTGTTAATCAATCTTAAATTAGTCAAACTTTAAATATTTAATTAGTAAAAAGTTAAAATGAATATTTTATTAGTGATAAAAGCTGTTACTAATTAAAATAGTGGAATTTTGTCAATTTCATTTTAAAAGAGTACATTCAGAGGTACCTACGCTTCTTCTCATTAAATAATAGGGTGATATCAAACAGTGATTCTTTGCAGCCTCGTGTACCGCTTGTGGCAAAATGTTGCTGCTAATAACAACAATTTTACCTATTAAGTCGAAAATGAGACTCACCATAAAATACAAGTTTCTGTATAAAGTTTTATATAAGTAGATAAAACAAAACTTAAATTTCTAGACATTGTTGTAGAACATATGCGCAGGAAGGAATTCGTCTAGGGGGGGCCTTAAAGTTTTTTATAATTTTGATAGATGTTATTTATAATCAAGTTGTACTGTAGAAGTTCACATTAAACTTAAGTCAAATAACATATCATCTTTATATGTATATTTACCTATTTATTTATATTGGTACATAAAATACATCACAGTTTTTTGGTAAATATATAAATATAAAAAAATTGTATAGCCGAGGAATCTCCTCTAGTAGTACAGCCGTCTTATGTATACATACGCTATACAAATTATGATAAATTAAAATATAAGGAACAAATGATAACGATCAGCACTTACCGTCAAATTATGGAGTACCGGAATTTCTGGGTATGAATTTCCTAATTTACCTATTTATTTATATTGGTACATAAAATACCTCACAGTTTTTTGGTAAATATATAAATATAAAAAAATTGTATAGCCGAGGAATCTCCTCTAGTAGTACAGCCGTCTTATGTATACATACGCTATACAAATTATGATAAATTAAAATATAAGGAACAAATGATAACGATCAGCACTTACCGTCAAATTATGGAGTACCGGAATTTCTGGGTATGAATTTCCAGGGGGGGCGGGCCCCCCCTGCCCCTATGTAGCGGGGCCCATGTTGTAGAAGAAACTAATCCTTGGTAAAACTGCCGCAAAAGTTTTTTTTCTACAGGGTAGTCCTGATTATTAAGAATACACTGTATAAAACTATTTTATTTTTTAATTTACAACGATAACTTAACTGAATTTACAAGTGTTATCTATTAATACAACAGCGAATAAGATACATGAGGGAATTAACAACCGTATTCGATTTAAATGGTATGTAGAAACCAGTTTGGTAATACGGTTCTCAATTATCCGAGGAAATTGAGAATCTTA